CCCCCCGCCGAGCCCAGCGCAGCGCCGCGCTGCATAACACGCACCTGCACACATCAAACACACCAGTGAGAGGCTGCACACTTCCACCCCGCAGAACAACACCGACCTGCAAGCATGGCTGCGCGGAGCTGAGAATCTCAATCAGCCGGTGAAAAAAAAGAAACACGGGGGGCTTTGGGGAAAAAGTGCGCAAAAAGGCTAGTTAATCCCCCACAGCTGAAGGTGCCGGTAAATAAGCAGCAGGTTCGTAAGATGAAACAGTTCAGGAGCACGTTACAGCAGAAGGCACAACTGAAGACAGCTGCTCTTCTTTCACTTTCTAAATATAAACTGAAACTTCTTTTTTTCACCTTCAAAGAGCTTCATCTTCTGCAATGTTTCCTGTTCCTAAGTTTATCTGACAAGACACCAGGTGCAATAAGGGTAAAGATATTGCTATAGATCTATGGATTACTTTTTTTGTTTTCTTGTGCCACCAGTATGGTGGGGAGACAGTAATTTAATCTTGTTTTAATTATTGCGAAGTGCCGGGAAGAAATCAGCTGTTTTTCTGAAGCAGTCTGAGCCTGCAGGATTGCACACTTCACACACAATTCTGAACACCACCTGTCGAGAGTAGCCCTCTCCTCCTTGTAGCCTGAAGACTGTCATATGAGGATCCAGAACTAAAAAAACATCTTTGCGGGCTGCAGCTTAAACACATTAAAAAGAAACATAAATAGAAGCAGGGGAAGAGTCTTAAAAAGTGGTTGAGAGCTGAAGGAGAATTGGAAAAAAAGACATGAAAAGGCAGTTATCAGTCTTTCAATGTTTATGAACAGTGACTGGCATTGCAAAACTGAAAAGCCTGCACATCATTGTACGGCAAACATCTTGCAACTAAAGTTATTGTTGAGTCTTGTAAAACAAACTTCTATTGCCCACAACTGGACCCTACGCAAGTGCTCAGACTAGACACTGAAACAGTGCTACAAACAAAGCACCCCCCTGCAACAGGCTGTCTAGTCCAGCATCTGTCTAAGCCTCTGTAAAGCACCAGTTGAAAGATCTGAGGAGCTGGGGAAAACCTGCCAATTTGGTCCAACAAACCAATGAAGCCCCTGCTCTACCTTAAAATGTAGGATTAAAATCCAACGTATAAAAACAATCTTAATAGTTTAGTTGAGTTTCTATAAAAACCGAGCCACTAAAATTTTAATAATACAGGTGTTCTCTCTAACACAAAACTGACTTCGATAGAACGTATTTTTTCCATTTGTGACACGAGGCAGTTCAGAAACTTAAATTCAGTCTGATTAGAAAAATATCTGCACGAAGTGAATGAGACATTCATCTACAAAAGGCCTGTACATAACCGCATGCTTTTATTTCCCAAACTATTGTAACATAAAGGCAATGAAAAGACAGAGTTGAATCATGCACATGGTGTGTATTTCTCAAAGTCATGTTTTCTCACGATGACATCGAGCTCATATGTAACTATTGCAATTTACTTTACAACCCTACTTTCTTTGCATCGTTACAGGGTTCATCTTCATTCCTTAACTGTGGTGCCTACCCCCAAACCCACCACCATTTCTCTTGACTGAATTTAAACCCTTTTTACACCAACTTGTCATTGGATTAACTTCCCTGTGCTCTGGAAAATTTCTGTCAAGGACTCAACCAAATTGCTTCTTAAATTGAGCTATGCTGAATTCATATTCCTGTTTTTTTTTTAAAAAACAAAGATTTCAGAGACTGCCAGTAATATTTTTCATTAAAGTACGCAATAAATTATTCCATACTGCAGGAATGGTGCTGCAGCAATCACGTTTTACTCTACAGTTCATTACCCCGGCTGCAGACAACAGCTTTAGATTGTTAGTCTTCCATTCACACAAGAGCAGAGAGAGAAGGTTCAATTAAAGGCAATGCACCAGGAGATGTGTCTACTTTAAGAGGTTTATGACATTTAAAGAAAAAGTAACATGGAGCTACTCTTACCAGCGGGGAAAGCAGAAACACCAGAGAATTCAAAAATACAATCTTTGACTCACGCTTCCAGTTCATCTCTCATAACTCCAACCCACTTAATACTCTATACGTCTTAACAGGAGAGTTATAAAGGTCTTATGACTAACCAATTAAAAGCAGGAGCTCGCGAAGAATGTGGAGAGAGGTTTTTTTTCTTTCCATTATACCACTGTGGTGACAAAACCCATTTTTAAAACAAGGGCAATGACTGATCTAAGGCACAAAATATTTGCAGGAAGGCTGAAATAACAATATATTTCTATAGGAATGAAAACCAATGATATCACTCCATACAGGAGCCACACATTTCGAAACAATTGTCATGCAAGGTGACTGATTTTTACAGTGTACTCTAAAACATTAAATACATGGGCCCTTAAAAACAGAAGGGTTCAGGGCAGAAATAGTATCTTAAGCACTGCATAATAATATACAGAAATCTGACAGCTTTCCCTTTCAATTCAGAAGGAATTTCTTTTTCTCCCCAACAAGAAAATATATATAAAACGTAATCTTGCATGTTTGTGTTTTCACTGTACCCATTTAAATTATTTTTATGTAAAATAAAAAAAAATCCAGACTGCGTTTGGCAAGCAGACAGTCAGTTCTTTTCGGCCTTGTTGTTGTTATGCTTAAATATAATTTTAGGTTCAACAGCGTCCCTGTCTACCGCATGACACAACACACAACACTCTCAGTTAGACGGCCCAGTTTCTTTTAAAAGAAGGGACCCCCTTTCAAAGGGGGATTTACAGTACTTAACAGAGTTTTACTGCCAACCATGCAAAACAAACAATATCTTCATGGAAGAATTTCTGCAGATCACCCTGTATGAACAGAAGTCAAAACAAGGACTTGAAGCCGATAGCATTATCCGTGACGTAGGCAGGTAATTTCCGGATTCAAACCGCGATGGCTCGTTGGCCCAGAGCTTATCCTGGTTTCCTGGTGTCAAGTGAACAGAGAGTCCAAGACTCTTCCCTCCCCGGGGCAGACATCAGTCAGTCGCAGGACCTACCCCCCCCCCCCAAATAAACGCTGGTTCGCATTCATGCATCTGTGTGGACTGGAGCCACGTGGAGCAAGTACAACAGCGGTGTCAGCAGCAGGGACTCGAACCCACAACCCACGAGTCGTGAGTCCAGAGCCTCATCCTCTACGCCGCACAGCCCCCATTCATTATTTTAACCACCCCAGCCTGAGGGTCTGCTGGAAGAGTCTGCTTTGCCTAGAGTGGATCTGAAAAGCACCGCAGCGAACGAGTGAGCAGGACCGCGGGGGGCAGGACGGACAG